GGACTGAATATGAACTTCACTCTCACAGCGTGGTGTAATAAAGTCCAACACCATTAGTTATGCTACCTGAGACGTTTGAATAGAAAGGAAAACAAACAATTCTCCCTCTGGGGAATCCAGGGGAGCTGGGGGCCATTAAGCTGCATTTGAGCTCACATTCACAAGTAAGAGGAATGAAATGTTGACAGGATGCAACACTTGGAAAAATCGTCTCTGGTTGCTGTTGTTGCCTGCTACTTTGTAGTCATCTCGATGTAGTGAAAACGCAGCACACCAAACACGGATGAAATATTTACAGCCAAGCAAATGTAATAAGTGAAGTCAAATATAGAGAAGAAGTTGTGGAGCTGACAGCCTTTGCATCAGCGTGGGCAAAAGAAGAAGAGCTCTCGGCGTGTGCGTATCTGTGCATGTTTTTGAAGTACTGCAGTGAGACAAGACGTGGATACAGAAGAGAACAGCGGTGTTTAGAGAGACGGCACCAAAGGAATTCGTGTGGAAGCATTAGGGAAGAAGATGTGTCAAGGTCACACACTAACAGTCACACACCAGCTGTCAGGATAGCTTAAATGACAACACTTATGCATTTAAGCTCTATTTAAATACTAAATAATATCATCCCATTTGGGGATTTTTTTTCCCTTTTTTACTCTCTTCTTGTTGATATTGAGCCCTCAATGTCTGGAGAGAACCTGCAACTCCAACTCTTTCCTCCTTCCACCCAAGAGGTTTCACTTACAGATGGGAAAACACGCAGCATTTAAAGTCATCCAGTCCTGCTTGACTTCTCACTCTAATTAACAAGAATACCTTAAAAACGTGTGCTTTGAAATGACATTAAAAATGGAGTAACAACATTAAAATACGTAAAGGAAAGATGAGCTTTAAATGGAAAAAAGAATAAGCATAAATAACCCTAATTCCTCCCCACTGTGTGTACTTAAATCAATAAGGAACCATTTGCAAAGGCATTTGGATTAAGGGCTGGACCAACTCAGATCTTTGACGCTGATCCTAGTGTATCTAAGGGAATAACAATCACACCATGACTATAGGTTTATTTTGCACCAATGAACATAACCTGGTGACTTTTTCTCTGAAAGTTATCACATGCTTAAAAGGAACAGAAAGAATACGAGTAATAATGTGGATTCCCATCAGGATGCTTGAAACAGAAATCCATCTGTCAGAGTGACATCTGCCACAACCTACTTGGATTTGAGTTGTGACCAGGCTCTGGTGAATAAATGAAGACGAATCCGATTCTCAGCCTTTAGTTTAGGCATTTTTATATGTCCTCAGGGATGTTTCCTCATCCCTCTGGTCAACACACTACTTACTACTTGACTGAATACCAATATCCATCCACCCGTCCGTCCACCTTCCACATACTAAGGATGAGTCATAAACGTAAAAGGCCCAGAAGGGAGAACCAGACATCCTTCTCCCTGGTAACACTGTCCAGCTCCCTATTGGTGATTCGATGGCACCCCAGGCTAGAGAGCATATATTCAGTTTACTTACATAGAATCAAATCATGACAAGAGTGGTCTCAGGGTAAAGTACAAATCACAGAAAGTAAAACATTCCACATGTACATTCTCTACATCAACTCCTGGGTCTTCCTGGGGTCTTGTGTAAGTGGGACAAACAAGGATGACCAGGACGCATGCCAGTCAGCTGCTGGAAACACCTAAACTCATTTGTTTCCACTTGGAAAAGCAGCAACTTGACTTCGGGCTCCCGCTGAGCCCGTTTCAAAAAGAACACCTTTCATGAAAAAAGGAGACTGGTGAGCTTTTGTTTCTGGGGTTCAGCTGGGCTCAGTCCAAGCAAACTGCCTTGCTGCTGGCCGGTGGGGAAACAAGTAGGTCTGGTGCAATGGAAGCCAAAGCCATAGTTTGCTGATACTGAAACTGTCCATGTCTCCTGTTTACGTATCACAGGGTCTAGACGTCTAATGGCTTCACGTAGGTGACCGACAGGAAGAAGTGGCTGTAATTCCTCAGAGGTCCCAATGAGGCTGGTCTCAGAATAGTTCTGATAGCATGTGTCAGTGTGTGATGGAAAGCACATCGACCTGTTCCTTCACCACCTGCTGCTAACAGCGGATGGCCGCTTATTCTGCCCAAAAAATAACTCATAGCAGCCTCCCTCCTTCTGAGGACACCTACAGCAGCAGGTGCAGGAGGACGGTGTCCTTCATCACTGAGGATCCCACCAATGCTGCATGTGAACTGTTTGACCTCTCCCTCTAGATAGGAGGCTAAAAAGCACTGCAGAGAGAACAAAGACACTTAAGACCAGTGTTTAAAACTCTGCCAAGCTGACAGACGTTTGTTTGTTTGTTTCTGCCACCGCTGTCATCCTGTTGCTTGGTTGTTTATTACTAATGAAAAGCTTTTAGGAAATGATTTTATATAGTTTCACTCTTTGATTGGTCTATATATGCACATTTTATTGCTGTCGTTAATCTTAAAGCAAGCAAATGGACCTTGCAGCACATTTAATTTGGAGGTGTCAGAGTGCAGAATGACAAATGAACCCTGAAACATCTAATGGTGGTATTTCTATCACCACCACGACAGTAATGACAGCAATCTACTAACCTCTCACATCCCAACACACCTGTGTGCATCTTCAACTCAGCAAGAGGTTTAATTACTGATCCCAGTTAGTCATTTGACCCAATTTTAGAGCTTCTGTCTGAGCTGCCCTTTAAATTTTAAAACTCTCAGTACTCATGTTTGTTTGGTTCAGTGGTGACAGGATTCATCTTCTGCCACAGCTCCACCACCATCGAGGTTTGTGGACTGGAGTGTTAGAAACCAATCAGCATCTCCAACGATAAAGTGGTCTTTTGTAAGCCAATGATAATGATTCTTAAACATTTTGGCTCCAGGTGGGCAGAAACAGTCTTCCTGCTACAAGCCGGTTCCACTCTCAGATACACGATTCAGCTGAGAACATTCAGAAATAGCACTTTAAGATAAAAGGTGACTGAGGCTTTAATGACTGAATATTGACTTTTAAAACAATAATACAGATAATTCAGCCCTAATATAGATGTAACACCTGAGGAGCTCCTCCTTTTAAAAAAAAAAAAAAAACATAACAACTGTTTGCCAACGGAGTTAAAAAGGACAGAGATGAAAATGCAGCTTTTTCAACTAACGAGCAGAGAAGAGTGACAGATTAAAACGAGCAAAGACCCACCCTGGAGAGGTACTATTTTTGTTTTTCTCCACTGTCACAAGGTACCAGTGCTGTACTAACATTTTGACTTGAAAAGCTTCCCTTATTTCTACCCACAAAGTACGAAAAAAGAGAAAAAGATGATATAAATGAACAGAAAACAATTCTGAACTAAAAATATGAAGAGATATAATGAAGTGGTTTGTAGTCAGAAAACTAGAGGAAAGGATGTGACTGAAACAGCTTCTTGGACAACATCAGTCCCCGTGAATGGTTAATACAACTCTGCAGATGGGAGGTGATGGTTTACACACCCTAGTCTAGCTTGATGTGGTTTCACAAGCTGGTGAAAACACTGGACGTCACTCATCATGAGTGGGGCTTGTGTGGAGAGGGCCTTCAGGAGAATGACCTGAAATATAGCGCCAGCATAGAGGAGCGGCAGAAGAAAACACAGCAAAGACTTTACTTTTTGGGGATCCTCAGGAAAAACCTGCTGCTTGTAACACTGTTCCATCCAGAGCGGATACTGACTGTGTGTGTGCGGTACGGCAGCAGCGCCTCTTCAGAGGAAAGCTCTCCTCGCGGTCATCAGTAGGGCGGAGAAGTTTATCAGCTACACCCTCCCACCCTGGTACAAATACACCTCCAGATGCCAGAAAACAGCAACAGATACCTCAAAAGACTCATCACCTTAATGCCTCTTCCAGCTGTCGCCATCAGGCAAGAGATAGGGAGAAAGAAAACTAGAACAAGCCGCCTTAGAAACACCTTTTATCTGAGAGAAATCAAGAATTCCCTAACTAAATTCCTTCATATAGTTTTCTCAGTGTCCCAGGCCCTAACTAAACCACTGCAGTACAAAGCTGTGTTTTCATAAGCAGCCATATTCTAACGTGTTTATATAGCTTGTCTTGTTATGAGTCCTGTCTCTTCTTGTCTGAGTCGACTGCACCTTCTAATGTGATTGATCTCCGGAGAACGTGACAATGGCATTAAAGATTTGATTGATTGATTGATTGATTGATTGATTGATGTATGAGTCTTGTGCTTGTTATGTTTCAAAGAAAATAAAGATGGCAGAATGAGGGCAAAACACATCAACAGGCTGCAGCACATCTCCGTTACTTTCAGTGGTCGCTCCCGTGCTCTGTGGTTTGGTGTCCAGAGATATTTTTTTATAAACCCTTGTGTCGAACACTCATACTGCTGAAAACCCATTTTCATCATATAAACAAACATCAAATCCACAGTTTCAGCAACTAAAGCTCAAGCCAAGTGCTCTACTTGCATTTTTGTAATCGATGACACAAGTAGATGAAAAGTAATGTTCTTCACAGGTAATGTTGCTTTTATGTTGGTGAGAGGCAATACAGAAGCTTATAGCACAGACCTGGGGAAAGCATACACAGTGTGTGTGAAATGGGCTTTTGAGAGAAGAAGCAATTATGACTGAGTTTTGTGCTTACAGCGACCATCCTAATTTAGTGGATTTCGAACTGAACAAAGAGCTCAAATGAGCTCCTCTTTCAGCAGTAACCGAGCAACTTTGGAGTAGAAAATCACAATTATATGACAGATAATAGTTACAGCCATCTGCTTTCTAGGTTGGGGAAAAGACTTGCTTGTGTTCAGTGATTCTAATTGGTCTTGGAGGGGCTGTTACTGCAAATAAGAGACAGGGTTGTGTGTAATGTGGTTCAAGTTTGAGAAACAAGAAGCCTTATTTTGGACTTCAAACTGCCACTTTAACACACTAGCAGAAAAATGTAGAGAGAGAAGTTGAAACGGGGCCGGTCACTTACCCATCACTTTTACAAAATAAGCATCGGCTTCGAAATTGTTCTTCAAAGCATGGATCACCAAGTCCTTCTTGCCCTCTGCTTTGCTCAGGACGAACATGTCTAATATTCCCTACAGACAGAAAAGACGGAAAACCTCAAAAACAAGAAGAGACCTGAAGAGAAGGCAGTTCAATGTTTTTGTTAGAGAGGGTATGTAAAAAAAAAACAAGCTCATACAGAAAACCAACAAGTACACTATTCTATTCTAACATGGTGTTGCAGCAGTTTGGCACAAGGAGAAAACAACACAGAGAGGAATTGGCTTTAAGGGTTCTAAAACAGTACAGCCTTTAAAAAGAGGAACTTATAAAAGCTTGAAGACAAACTCTGGGAAGCACTTGACCAAAACGCTGCCCTGCCCTCCATCCAAGTCTAGCTTATCACGACTGAAAATGAAAGCAAAGCTAACAAAATAACTCATTTAGTAGATGTCAGAGTTGACAAAAGCTTCATACATAATCAACTTTTCTGAACTGGAGGTGTCAAACATTCTTGTTTGCTCTGTCCAATGTTTTCATTTTCACTCCACATTTGACCTAAGCCACTTTAATATTCTGAAAGCTCTCACCAAGTCACGCACGTTTATCAGCGCATTCAAAGGACGAGGTTTGAGGAGGCAGACGTTTACAGAAAAATAAAATAAAACATGATCAGCAATGCTTCGGCAAACATGATGGGAAAGTGCTTCCAACAGATGGAGAGGTCCAGGTGCCACTAATGGGATTTAAAGAAAAATAAACAGCATTCCATACTCACATCTTCGTAGATGTCAAAGAAAGTTGCCATGACGGCATTCTGGATTGCTCCCAAATCTGATTGGTCCCAGTGGATGTGGAACATTCGCCCAACACTAGCACAGCTGGGGGTGTTACAGGGGACGTTCTCCAAAAGAAAGGCCCGCTGATCGCTGGAAGGCCAAAGAGAGAGAGAAGACTCAGTGTTAAGTTCCTCTGTTAGGTGACACAATCCCCACTTAACAGGGATCATCTACTGGAGAAATATACGCAGGATTCCACTCAGGACTTCATGGCTTCACTTTTCACTTTCCTTTATTTCACTTCCATTTCATATTATCCAAGATGGAAATAAGGGATGACGAAGCACGAAGCAAGGCAAAGCCTACGAGCAGGTGAAAAACCTTAAACAAAAAACAGTGTGTGTGCTAAGAAACAGTGTAAATTGTGTAACATTTCATTATAAACTGCCATTCATAAAATGTGTGATGATTTCAACGTGATATTCATTTATAAATGTTAGCACGAAAAAAAAATATATCATTAATTCATTCGGATATATCATTAATTCATTCGGACCCAAACTCACTTAAATTCATCACTCCAGTTATTTGTTTCACTCTTACATAACAACATTAAATAATGAGCAATCAAACATCAAACTGATTTCTAAACACCCGACACAAACATTTATGATGCGCACCGGTGTCCACAGCGTCAGCTCCGAGCTGCGCTCAACAATCACACATCAGCTGATCGGCACGCACACACGCGTTACAAATCTGCGTCTTACCGGCTGCCTTTCCAGTCTTTAGATGAGTGTCATTTACCGCTCCGGAGGATCACCACGTTGGTGCTTCCTCTAGGAACTTTCACAAACAGTTTTTCCTCCTGACATGTCCTACATAAAACATTTCAGGCAGGAAATGCGCAGTGACGTTCTGAGACGTGGAGCGACGCGCGCACTGACCTTAATTAGTTCCAGCTGTTTCATCTACCACCTACCCCGTGTGTCTTATTTATTTTCTTTATTTTTACATATTTTTTTCCATTCTTTTTTATATTTTTATTTTAGTTTTTATTTCAATCTAAATATGCTGTATGATCATGATTTTGACCGCACACCTCCCACTCGATATTTGTGTGGAATCACAAAAAATATCGCAAGTCATGAAAAGGTCAAGAACATCTCATTTCTGTCCCTCAATAGGCAATAAGACAACCAAGCGTCTAACATCTCTGTGTAAGATAACAGTTCTGTCTTTGCCTCCACCCAGACATGATCGGTCTCGCCGTCCGTGTCCATCTTTCGTTTTCACACCAGGTGCACAGTAACTTGGTGTAACTTTAATGTCAACATCTCTCACAATGCCTTCACTGTCCGGGTTGACCCCAACTACCTTACCCAACCTGTACTGCCCTCTTAAAGCATTCTGATCACTTAGCCACACAATGTCACCAAGGGCGACATTCCTCTGCGCAGTGTGCCACTTGCTCCGGATAAATAAATTAGGACCTGCAAGTTGGCTCCATGCTCTCCAGAACTTGTCCACCTCCGTCTGGATGGCTCGGAGTCTTTTGTACGGGTAACTGGTAAAGTCAAAGGTCTCAGAGTCTCCTCGATGAGACGCTCGCCCAAGCAGGAGGGTGTTTGGTGTAATGTAGTGAATGCAGTCTTCACGGCTCTGGGTCCTGGCATCAATTGGTCTTTCATTCACAAGATTGGCTGCTGTATAAAGGGCTGTCTGAAACTCACTGTATGTTAGTGAAGATCCCTTTCCAAGATTTTGCAGTGCTCTTTTCATCACGCGTACAGCAGCTTCAGCAGCGCCATTTCTGTGTGGAGAATCCGCTGGATGAAGCTTCCACACCCATTCAGTTCCGTTCTTGGCAGAAAGATCCTCCAAACCTGCTTTGTCCTGATTGTCGAGGAATTTATACATCTCCTCCAAAACCGGCTTAGCTCCAATGAAATTGGTACCAGGATCTGACCAGATCTTTCGTGGATGTCCTCTTATTGCAGTAAATCGCTGGTAGGCTGTTAGAAAACCCTCTGCTGACAGGTCGTTTGCGATATCAGCATAGATGGCTCTGCTGACCATGCAGCAAAACACGATTCCCCAAACTTTCTTCGTCACTCTCTTCTTAACATCATCCCTCACGTGGTAGGGACCGAATAGATCCACTGATGTGAACTTGAAGGGAGGGGCAGGTTCTGTCCTTTCAGGTGGCAAGCAACCCATGATTTGTTGACATCTCCGTGCCCTGGCCTTTCTGCAGATCAAACAGTCATCAACGATCTGCTTGGCGATCCTCCTCCCTTTTATGACCCAAGCCTTGGATCTCATCCTTAGCAACGTTCCAGCCACCCCTTCATGATTCTGGTTATGGGCTTCACGAGCTAACAAGCAGGATACCCAGGCATCAGAAGGTAAGATGGGAACGCTGGCTTGATCTTCATCATAACTCTGTATCCGACCTCCACAGACCAATAATCCTGTGTCTTGATCCTTATAGACTACCAGCCTATCTCTTGTGGTGGCGGGTAGACTCATATCCTTTTGTGCTGAAAGAAAGACGTCTCTAAGGGCATCTTCCCTTTCGTTGGTCGTTATAGCGCCAACTAATGGAACTGCCTCCCACTGTGGTTTGTCCATAGCTTTATGATGTCCTCCCAGTCTTCTTGCTGCTCTCCAGAGCCATGCCACCGCTTTGATCAGTCGGGATAGGCAGCTGAAGCGCTTAACATCTATCAGATTCTGGATGGTTGGCTCTGCGGAAGGTCTCCTGCTCTTGGTTGGGGGATTTTTTGGACCCTTTTCTGCTTCAAGCTGTTTTGCCTTGGCCCTCGTCAGTGCAGCCACAAATGCCTTTTTCTGTAATTTATTGACATTTTCTTTGGCAGCGGTAGCTAATTCCTTAGCTGACTTAACCGGCCATCCCTCTACCGGCAAGCTCAGGAACTTTGGCCCGTTTTGCCACTTAGAGTCCTGTCCGAGATCTTTAGCCCCAGTGCCTCTCGTAAGGACATCAGCAATATTTAAAGGACCAGGAATCCAATGCAAGTCTTTGATATTTGTGTTGCTTTGAATCTCTCCAATTCTATTTGCAAAAAATGTCTGATAGCCATAACTGTCTCTCTGTATTGCTCCGAGGATGGTTTGACTGTCGAGGAGGTGATACCATTTTCCAACTTCAATAAGGCCATGATCTTCAAAGTACTTTTTCAAACGAGATGCGAACACGGCACCACATAATTCCGACTTTACTGTGTCACCTTTGTGCTCTACCGGAGTCAATTTGGCCTTAGATTCCACTAATCTAATCACCGGCCCCTGTTCATCTCCCCATCTCAGGTACATCACTGCGCCGAAGGCCTGCTCACTTCCATCACAAAATGTAATGGCTAAAGGTTTGCTAGCGAAGCCTAAGGGAGTCAGTGACCTGTGAAACTTAATTTTTGCCAGTTCGGTGTACTCTTCGAAAAGTTTTATTGCCTCATGTCGAAGATCATCTGAAAGCGCTGTGTCCCACGTTTCTTGCACCGAATATCCTTTTCCCTTTGTTTCCTGAAATGCTTTTCGCACAAGAATTGCTCCCATCTGTTTGACTGGTGGTCCTAGACCAACCGGATCATACAATCCTGACACTTGGCTGAGGAGTTCCCTTCTTGTCAGAGGGTTTGGTGTTGAGGCTTTAATCTGATCTTGTTGGAGATCTTGTCCAAGCCGTATCTTCCTCTTCCTCTTCGAAAAGTTAATCACAGTCATGATTTGAAGCATGTCCTCTTCTACCTTGTACCTCAGACCTAGTGCTTTATTGTCACCTTGTTCGATCCGGTTTGGTACAATCACGGATGTTGCTTCTCTTTCCCCCAGTCTATTTCCATCCTCCTGCCTCTCACTTTGCCCAGAGAAGACCCAAGGTTTTAGTTCGAATCCACCCCCTTTCAGGATCTGGTCTACATTCTCTGTTATGGTCTTTAGCCGGATGAGGCTATTGTGCGAGGTGAGTATGTCATCAACGTAAGTAGCATTTTGTATAACATCTCGTTCCTCTTTGAGGTGAGTAAATGCAGGAAGGTTGGCAGTTTCACGCATTGCAAGTTGTGCAATACACCCAGCAGGTTTATCTCCCATATTAACTCTGGTGATTGCATATTCTTCCAGTTCTTCCTCTTCTGTATCCCTCCAAAGGAATCTATGCAGGTGCATTTCTTCGCGTTCCAACCAAACTGAGTTGTACATCTTCTTCACATCTCCTAACGCAGCATATACTCCACAATGGAATCTGAGGAGGACTGCGCAAACCTGATTTAGAACATCGGGACCCTTCATTAACAAGTCATTCAAACTGACTCCCATGAACCTTTGGCTGCTGTTCCATACAAGCCTCACCGGAGTTGTTGTTGAGTGTGGGTTTGGTGCAACAAGGTGACTAACGTACCACACCGGCCCAGTCCATTCATTGATCATTTCCTCTGACAGTTTCAAGGCTGCTTTTCGTTCCACCATGTCATGTACCTGGGCGGTATATGCGATTTTCAACTCTGGTTCTTTCTTTAATTGTTTTTCAGTTCTAAAAAAGGTGGCTTGAACCGCCCTTCGGTTGTTTGGCAGGGAGGCAGGATTTTCCACCCATGGATAGCGGGCATGCCAGTGCGGTTTACTGCTGTGATCGTCTTTTTCTACATAGGTAAGTCCGTTTTTGACCACTTGTAGATCTCTCTCTTCAGCGAGAGTCATGTCCTTCCCACCTGGCTGACAGTTTCCACATCGGCATCCTCCACATTTAGGAGTGCAGGCTGCACCGATGCTGTCCCATTTCCACCATTTGAGGAACTCACGAGTAGTAGTTGCAGTACTTGTGCTTTGCAGATTTACCTTCGGGCACATATTTTGGGGGGACCTTTGGGACATTCCACTGATTACTTCCTCATATTTGAAAGCGGCTGTCCTCATAGACCTTGCAAAGTGCGTAACTGACCCATTTGTGGAAACTGTCAAATCTTCAAAAAGCTCCGGGTGGGTTCCTCCAACTGTTTTACAAAAGGGCCCATCCCACAGCACGAGATCTCCTACTGCATGGATTTTCTGTGGTACTAGTTGACCTTCTCTGTGACTTATGAGAAGGTGGATTTCCGTAGGCCTCTCAAGATCGCCAAGTTGCACAT